AAGGGTGAACAGGGAACGACTCGATTTCCTTTACTTTTCTGGAGCCGTTTCTCTACGAACTAATGTGCAAGCTGTATCAAACATCGCGCGAAAATTGAGAATTGAAATAAGTTGCAATTCGAATTGACCGATATTACGTTGTTTACGTTATTTGTGCCGCGGATAGGACAGTATATTATTTATAATATTTGTATTGAGCATTTACATTTATTATTTCTTATGAAATTTAAATTCTTGCTCTTATTAAGATTGATTTCTGTTTCAGGTCCTTGGCTTTTGCATCGATACGACCAAATAAGTGACACTTTCACTCTTCTAATTCTGCGTTGGTAAGTAAATATTTAAGTCTGCATGCGTTACATCTAACACGGTTACGGTTAGAGAAGAACTTATTCTTCACGATCTTCTCTGAAGAAAAGAGTAAATTATCTTTCGCGATGCGGACTCTAGTAGAAAAAAACTGACCGAATACAATTATAATATAAATAAAATAAGATAAAATAAAAAAAATATCGCGAAAAGTTTAATAGTATTATGCTAGAGCCACGCGCGATACAAAGCCGCATCTGTTAAAAGAACATGTTAAGAAACAAAATATAGTAATATAAGGATAATATTGTAAAATAATTTGACATTGCATCTCATATTGTCAGTGTGCAAGATATGAAAATTATGACGAGCGATGTGCCTATGTACCTTTCATCTCTATATTTGCACTGTGTTGACATTATATTGACTCGGGGACTTGGCACGAATGCCGGACGCGGCTACCGACCATACATGAATAACAATCAGGAGCTATAACCCTCCCGCGATACATAATACTCATAATATATGTACGTATACGGCGGCCTTTTACGGCCGCCGCATTTTTATGTTAATCGCGCAATCCTAGACAGGCGAGACGACTGCCACCCCTCCTTTTGTTATCTTATAGCGCAAATAGTGATCGCCGTCCGAATTTGTTCCGCGCGAACGCCGTAAATGGAAAAGGTCATCTCGTGGAGGGAGGAATCGCGAGGGTGCATGTACGCGGGGGCATATTTTTTTACCGAACTCCACGTTAAATATGAAGGGCGATCCGACCGCGTTCTTTTTTTTTTCTTTTCGTCGAATAAGTGTGCACAGATTTGGGGCTACTTGGGAATTGACCGGCTGTTTGAACGGTGACGTGAATAGGGGATTCTATTGATACCGGTTCGTTTTATTTATTCGCCACTAAATAATCTATGATTATATTATTTATGAGAGAAATGATTAAAATATGAAATTATAAGAATAATCGAGAATAATCGAGAAGGCTCAAAAACACGTAGGAGGCACACATGTTAGACATTTCCCGCATCTTTATTTTTTGTTCTTAATAAAAAAACCACATGTTAGACATTTCCCGCATCTTTCTTTTTTGTTCTTAATAAAAAAACCATATGTTTCAAAAATCTTTATTTTCTTTTGAGCTTTGTTTGCTTCGGGTGAGGTCTGTATTCAACATGAAGTGAAAATCTGTTAGACATTTGTCGCAAATGTATATAGGAAATATGGACTAGGTACTTCGTTCAACGATTTAGCATCCTTCCGTGGGTATCTCGCTGGTGCGACTCGATGTGCGATTCAGCACTTCGCCGATTCACGGCTCCTCTTGAGAACGTTGTAGAAACGAAGGCGACGCTTACGAGGAGTTATAGAAGGAGAAAAGGGAAAGACGGAAGTTAGATGAGAAGAGCGAAAGAAAGAGAGGGAGAGAGAGGGGCTGAGAGCGCGAGAGAGACAGAGCGACGCGGAGCCGCGGCGGCGGCTGGACGTTTTATGCGCGCCGCGCAAAAGATGCCTTTGAATCCTTAATTCCCTTTGAAACTCTCATTCTGGGAGCAAAATGGCGAGAACGAGGCGTATTCTTCGGCTGAATGACGTATTGAGCGAGTTTTGTATGCCGTTGCGTCCGCGGACGGCTCATCCAGCGGCCCTATGGCCGCTTATACGCGTTATACGTATTACGTTCTCTCTTTTCTCTTTCCACATCGCGCAGTCACGACAAGAAACGTACGAGTCTGCACGTCCTTTTCTCTTTCTCGAGATTCTCTCTTCTCGCTTTTCGTTTTTCGGCAATATACCCTCGCGACAGAGAATGCTGCCAGTTCCGTAATTCAGGTTTCTCTTTCATCTCTTTCATAGGTTGATAGCGTGCCACGTTATACGGACTGTCCCTCAAAAGCTTCGTCTAAAAATGAAATTAGCGATTTTGCTCCTTTAAGCCATTCTGTTATCAGAAGCAATAAAATCAGTTTGGAGTCGTTTCTTTGCGGAACTTTTTAATTTCGTAAGTAAGTCTTACTGTTATCTCATACTTTATTGAGGGTAAGGTATGAAACAACAATAACAAGTTTTTTTTTTAAATTGCAACTCGCTTCGGGCGATAAACTGCATCGGTAAATGAGATTACTCTTGGATAATGGATTACATTGACCCTTCCCCAAGGTCTCGTTCGCACAATCTTAGCTTCGCTTTATCGCCTCTAACAACTATCGCGTCATGATAATTTCCCGTTGAAATTGCCGGCAAATATCATGTGCATCCCGGAATTCCGGACGAGATTCACGTTAGGCCATCGATCGACCTCTCGCGGAAACTCGCGCGCTCGTCTAACGAGACATTCGGTAGTAGGATTCGACGACCACTGTCGCCGTCGTCGTCGCCGTCGCCGTCGCCAGGGCGGAGAAATCTCGCGACGTGTACGCTTCAAGAACTCGGCATTATCGGTCGGGTTTTCTCACGGATACAATTTCCCGACGCAATTTTCTTTTCAGTCGGCCCCGGCGAATCCAACGCGCGCGCGGGTTGGACCGTGGGTGGCAAATGGCAAAGAGAGAGAAAGAGATACGGTGACAAGGGGGTGTGCGGAAGGGTGCAGAAAGAGGCGGGGGAGGGGAGGAGGTGCGGCGCAGCCCATATTCGTGCATTGTGGCACGTTCCATCGCGTTCTCAACTGAACTGAACTCGACTCAACAGTGGAGGACACAATGGGCGGTATGAATAAGTATAACAGACAGACACCGGTACAGACAGACACAGGTAGCTCAGGCCGCAGTATGTGAATGAGGAACCCATTTGATAACACGCCTCCACAGCCACCCAGGTCCATTGTGTCGCTTCCTATTCAGCTGCTCTATGCCCTCTTCTCCTCCTATCCCCTCTTTGCCGTCCCTCTCTCTCTCTTTCTCTCTCCCTCTCTCGTTCTCTCTGCTCTCAACCCCCTCCTCCCCGCCTCTGCCGGATTCACCTTGCTCTGCTGGTGATGTTACCCCTCTCGCTCGCTCGTTCTCGTTCCAATATCATCGCGGAGATCTTGTCCTATCTGTCCTGCACCTGTATTATGCACAGAGGAAAAAGGCAGACACGGATTCGCCGCGTGGATCCCTTCTCCTTCATTTCGATCGCGCGTTGGCTGCGTAGGATCGGATCGCGATGCGAGTGAATTAGAAACGCGATGCACCGTGCGAAAACCGCTCAGGACCGATGAATAACTTACGACACAACTTAATCTTTACTTGTTATTGTGTCCCAAAGAAGGTAGATATTCTCATCATAGGGATTATTCAGCGTTCGGCAAAGTAGAAGCTATAAACAATTTTTTTTATTTTGAAAAAAAAAACGAAGAAATTTTATAAAAGATAATTAAATATAATATATAGATCTAATTATTTTATTTTACTATTTTGATATTATCTTATAAATTCAAAATATCAATTTGTAGTATTTATAGTCAAAAATATCAAACTTTTACCCTTCTTTATCGTCGTTCTCTTCAATGGCACGCGTATGCGTCTTTAGCGGCGAAAGGGTTAAACCGACCCTGTCTGCGAAATAGGTATTACTAGCGAATGATCCTGGTCGCGTGGATGCTATGGAGACTATCCTGGGATCGCAGTCGTACGCATAGGTTATACATCGACAGCGAGAGAGAGAGTGAGAAAGAGAGAGGGGTGGAGGGAGGAGTACCGACCAACAACAATGAGGCAGAGACAAAGCCCAGGTACAATGCTGATGTTGAACTCGACTGATTTCGACGATTTTTGGCCTTTGCATGTGCATCGCGCGTTACTCGACAATGATTCCCGCATACGTAATCATCGCTATAGCCGCGGAACTCTGGTACCCTCGCTCGCGGCAGTGGCTCTCACCCGCGGCCTCTTTTTCTCCGGCTGGACCTCTTTTGAGAGCGTCTTCGATGCTCGAGTCCCGATAGAGAATCAGCGTGACACGGCGGTCCGTTTGTCGGCTCAAACTCTGGCGGCTCATTGAATAATAGTTGAGAGTCATAGGTGACTCATCTTCATTCGCGCAATTCGCTTTTCAGCCGTGTGTTTAAGCGACGATTATTGCATCGGCGTAAGTGGAGATCAATCGGCAATCATGTATAGCTTAAAATCTATTTTTAGAACGTTTGATCTTTATATAGGAAATGTGTGTATTGTGCGTGATTCTTAATATGAAAATTTAAGTTATTATCTAAAGTTACGATGAAAAATGTCGATTTTTAGAGGAAATCAGTGTATGTGTAAGCAGCAGTATGTGTAAGAAATTCAGCTAATCAGGATCAACGTTAGCAGATGTCGGAATAACATTTAGACGTCCACGATCTCAAATGTCGATATGATTCATCATGGGTCGGAATTCGTTTCACGGTTCGATACCAATTCATCGTTATCAGGAGCATTTTAAATTTTTACAGTAATCTCGCACCGGATGAGTCGTACGTTATGTACAGAGTACTCTCAATTCGATTATTGAGCTCACCTATTCTGACACCTATTAATTAAATCATTCAAAAGCAAAACATTGATTTTTACAATAATAAAAGTAATTATATTGTAAAAATATGATATTTATATTCTACACGAACAAGAATACGTGTCGATTTACACAATTCTCGATGAATCAATGAATTAATTATCTCTCAATAAAATTTACATCAATTTGACAATTTTATTTTGCTCCTTATAAATATGTAAAGATATAAAATATTTTGTATATGTCCTATATAAGTAGATAAGTAGAAATGCACAAACTATTCAGAATCGTTTTTGTTTGGTCTCCTGAAGCGTGAAGAAAGTAAGCACATCTATTCTCTTCATGCATAGGCAGGCTCAAGTTAAGAGTGGGATTTTGCACAAAGAATTCCGCGATACACATCGCGAAACTGACGGCAATCTCTCGCCAGTCTCCGCGGTGCTTTTTCGACACTCGCAAAGGGTGGATTCCTGATCGATTGAGCACCGCTGACCGCACCTGAATAGATACATTGTGCCGAGGCGGCCTATTGACGGGCGATTGTTCCCTCAACAATAACAACAATATCTGAATAGTCGTCCTGCGCATCTCTCGCGCGTTGCACGCACCCACGCATCCGCGCGTGCACGCACGGACGGGGCGCTTCCACACGCGCGCGTGCACCGGTGTACACGCACGCGTGCAGCCTGATGAAAGGTTCCCGCACAGCTCGCGGAATACATGCAAGCAATATAAACGCACGTACCAGTGGATTTGGTAAATATCGAGGCCCGAAGGCGAAAAATCGGCGGACAGGAATCATCGTTCTTAATTTTGATAATTAAATGAGAAATGATTTGGCATAATATTAGCATTTAATTTGTAATGATTATAATAAACAATGGACACATAACGCTCGTGTCTAAAATAAATCTCGTGCATCGCAGGAAAATTGGGCAAAAAGTGCTGTTATATGTGAGAGATTGCTATTTTTAGATAATTTCCTTACGGTAAAATATCTCTCTTTCCTTTTAGCAATTTGTCCATTTTTTCCTGGATGCGTGTATACGCGTGTGCGTCGGTGAGAATCGGAGTAATGCGCGCGTGTTGTGCGGTCGCGAGCCTCGCGAGTGTGGTCTTTCTCGTTAGGGGTGTGAGTGTTTCGGGCGGGATTGTGGATCGAACCGGCCACACAGCGCCACGCCGGGTGTTACGCTCGAACTGAAACAATGCAGAAGCACGAGGGTCCGAGCGATCAACCCCCTTGTGCGGCTCGTGAAACGGCACTAATGCCTTTCGCGCGAATTTACGCGCTAATTCGCCGAGCGTTCATCTTCGGCCTGGCTCAAGTATCGCTACTGGAAGGTCCGCTGATGTTGCACCGCGGCGATATTGACATGCGAAATATTCTTAACTTGGGGATAGAGTTGCTCCATCTCGTTTTATAAAACGCTGAATATATGAGATTCAGCGGGTGAGAGAACGCTACATACCTAAGTTATTTCCATATTTCTCGCGAACATTTTTTAATATGATTTTATTTAATGTAAAAGCATAATTAATAACGCAATATTGGGATATATAAAATATTGTTTATCAATATTTATAAACAATGGTCAAGGTATATATGCAATGCCGTCGTAGAAATACGTATTTATATCCTACGAGCAGGTACTACATTACCGCGAAAATGTAAGGGTTGATTTTCGGTCGTTTATAGAAATTGCCGATCGTTCTTGATACTACCTGAAACGCAATACATCTACCGGTGTGTCACTTGATAACGATATTCTACGAAATGCAACGGCATTTGTTTATGGTTACTGTAAAAAAATAAAATGATAATTGTCGATGATAATGACAATCTTGACACTAGGATAGCGAGATGTATGTTTAAATTAATAAACTTGTGTAAAGAATACATAAAGAAAAGTCTTTGGGCGACATGTGACTTTTCGCACACACGCACGCACACACACTGCGAGTTGTAAGCCTACGGTCTTTTCTCTAGTTAAACGTTCAATCTGTTTTAGATCGTCATATCGTGCGTAAAAGATTCGATATTGTTCGATCGTTCGATGACAGTCACACGATACTCTATGCTCAGATAGTCTTATAAGGCGCCGATATCTTACGCGACATCGTTATTCGTCCGAAGTATAATTAGGTACATATATATGCGCTGTATAGTTGAAAATAGAAAAAAGATGTCGCAAGATGAGGTATATTTACATTCACTTTAATAGATGATTAATTTTGCAAGATGAGGTACATTTACTTTAGTAGATAATTAATTTTGTACTGTATCACAAAAATTGTAGAATTGTATATAATGACTAACAATAAGATTTAGACGTTAAATGAGTCCAAATTATTTTTATTTTGATGCAGAACTCATTAGCTGACATAATTTCACCACATCTTACGATATCGTAATTAGGAGAACTGATGGCCACTGCAGCCCGTATCCGGCAAGGGAACGCATACCGCTTAAATAATTTAGATTCTAGATATCTCTTCCTAGACAAATTCATCAATACTAAATTAAATCACTAATTTACGCGAATATTTCAATTATTTCAATATTCACGTTTCTTATTGCGAATATAGGATCCCAACTTAGACATTAGATTTATATCTTCATACATTCCTCGATTTACGATACGTCTCCATCCGGCTGCCGCTTATCCAGTCTATCACATTTCAGTTGTCCATGACGTTGTTGTCGTCAATCGTTTCGTTACGTTTAAGTCGATATCAAAAGATAAACGATAGATCGGAAAATCCACATTCGTCGCAACGTTTCTGTAAGATACGATTTTAAACATCAGAATTGTGATTAAATTTTAATATTAAAATTGATTAGTTATATATACATTATGTACTATATCTGATATTGTTTAAAAATTAATTGTATTAAATACTTTTATTCCGACAATATAAAAACATTATCGTGATTTTTTTATTATAAGACGTCATCATACGAACAGTTTCAGTTTTGGTAGGCGGCTGCTCGCGTAGTCGATGATACATCAGGCGATTAGTTATATAATCTGGAAGATTGTGTCGAGACAATGTTCGATCTCTCATTTGCCAGTCGAACGACGGTCTGATGTTCGCTCCCAAGTTCAATATATCGCGGTCTTCGTATATTATGCGTAATGGTGCACTTATCTGAAAGGAAATACTTTTAAATTTTTATCTTACATAGATGCATACTTGTGCTTAATATGGTTAAGATTATAAGCATAATGCTATATCCATAAAATTATCTTTTCATTAAAAGATTTTCATATGCATATATTTATATAAGATGCTATAAATGTTATTTTTTTTATTAAGCCAAAGAAAAGTTTCTTTGATATTTCTCTCTCTTTCGATATGGCATTCCTACAGCTCCTTTTAATGTCGAGTTCTGAATTATTCGTGCGAACGCGAACGCTCGTAATGTTTACCTTCTCCTGGCTCTTCCACGGTGCTCTAGTGGGAGTCTCCGGTCGCGATGAGATCGGCGTTAATTCGACCAACGCCGATTCGGCGGACGTTGCGAGACTGCTGATGCCGCTGGACTCGCTTCCGGTACTTGGAGAAGTCCGCCCAGAGTCGGACAATCTCCTCAAGTTCTGTTCGCGCTCAATATTAAGAAGCTTCAGGCTCAATGTGGAAAAGCGCTCCGGGTCTAAACCGAATAACGGTAATGCTAACGTCAATGCCATTTTTGCTCAGCGTTGTCCTCGATCTCTTCTTAGCGAATCCTTCGATCAAAACCGACTGTCACGATAATACTATGATTAGACGCGTGATATTTACAAGATCGATTATTTACAAAACTAATCCCCGCAGTTGGAGCGACCTCTGATCGGTGTTCTACACATTTTTTGTTCACATCAGCACTTTGCATGTATCTTGCTTTATAAATAGAGAGAAAAAAGAACGAACGTACTGAAATCAAGGAATTCTCAGCTTGTGCACTTCGCAAGTTTACTTTTTTGGTTTAAATCGCGTGGGGAACACTCGCGCGCGACATTTTCTGTCAGAAATAACGTATATTGGCAAAAGAATGTAATTTTAGAGTCCACATTGTACTTGTAGATGGATATTCGAGGGAGATTATTCTGTTCGAATAGAGTTATTATTACGATCTTAATTTTCTTGAGAATACGCGCATCGCGTTAAATCGAATACATTTTACTATTTCTTATAACAAGATTTCACTTTCGCGTCGATATTACCTGGATCGCAATAAAAGTAATAAGAGCCGCTTTAATAATAGAGCCGTTGCGAACCGTTACGACGTCAACCGACAACTGAAAGTGTGTCCTGCTTGTATATCCTGCCACACTGTTCACCTGTACATATAATCTTTTCGTATGAGCACTCGTGATGATAAACACGACCTTCTAATGTTTCGAATCGCGAGTGAGAAGCATTAATCCCGGTCATGCTATGCTGTATTTTATCGGAAAAAGTACTAAACGTTAAATAAATATTAAAAAGACGAAAAATCGATATACTGTAATAGTTCTCTTATCGCTTATCTGACCATGTAGTGGCACTATTTTAACCCTGAGAAATCTCCTTTACCGACGAGGATGGTAAAGCCGTTTTCCACTGGTACAGTTTGCTGTATGGACCCATGGTACACATGCAACGTTCCTCTCTTCAGCAAGGATGCTGGACATTTTGATCTACCAACGAAGTCTGCTTTGCCGACTGCAATTATTTTTTTCGTGTTACTTTTCCCACGTATAATAATCGTTGCTAATTAACATTTACAAAACGATTTTACATACTTGCGATAACAACAACTTGTAATAATAACTGTTTTGATATCAAATATTATCCGGTTTTAATCGATACTTCTTACCATACGGCATGATGCCGGTAAATAATACTCAGGGTAACCGCGAGTCGCCTTGACGTCAAGCGTTCTTTTTGAAAGTTTGTTTTCTTGTAATACCGCTAGGATATCATTATATTGATCGTGTATTATTTAAATTTTCAGTTTTTATTATAATTTATCACCCTGATGCATAATTTGCATATAAATTTCTCTTTGACGTTATATTTTATCTCATCTTTTGACAGAAAGCAGACTGTAAAGATACGTTCGGTATAACGTGGTTTCGTATACTAGACCGAGCTTTCTCGCAAGCATTTGTTTAAACGTCGTATTCTTTATAAGGTGTATCAGAATACGTTTAAGTCAGATGGTCTGACGCTACTCAGGGATCGTCGTAAACCGAGATGATGGATGCTTTATATGTGCTGCGGATGAAAATCTGTGCTTCATCGTTCCAGAATTTACGGCCAAGTTTTCATTCATCGTTCTTTCAGCTATCTCGTTCTCACAGGCTCCAGTACATGTCACTCCTAAGTGGTTATGAAGGATAGTCGCCAGGACATCGTTACGGATCGAAGACTATCAATTAATAGTTAGGTTATTGCGCTTACGCTCCTTTCTCTGTCTATTCTGATGATATGCAATATGATCATCTATAATGATAAGATAGATTGATAGAAGATAATGATAGTGATAGAAGAGAAGAAAGTTGTGTCCCTGTGAAGGGGGAGTGAATTTGATGTGTGGTCAAGTTTTCAGATAATATTTATTCCATCACACAATTCCTCATGAATAAGAAATAGAAGAGCGGGATATCTTCTCCAACACAGGGCTTTCCTTCTTTGTGATATTGCTAATGTAGATATAATGACTGTAATTACGCACTATAAAGCACATGCGTGTATGTGTATTATATATATATGTATATATATATAGGGTCAAAGAGGGGGAGTAAAATAATCACAAAACTCTCCCAAAAAGACTCTCAAAAAGAAGAAGAACCACGATGATTGGAAGATGAAATCGTACGTTATTGGATTGCCCTCTCTAAGAGAGGAGGGAGCAGTATTCATCTAATTATCCTCTAGAGTAGAATATGTGATGTTGCATAGAAGAAGGGGAAGAATTAAGTTAATAACTCTAGGAAACGGGAAAGAAATACTCTGACAACAAGGACTCCAATTTTAGTATATGTACTGCCGAAGCAAGTACAGTGGCGATATCATCGTAACGATTGTAACCAATGAAGTTCTGCTGAGTTGCGATTGTTGTTAGTTGAAAACAAGGACTCTTAAGATGTATGAAGATTCAAGGCGAAACTTCCCGGAACACCCCTCAAGAGAATTCTCTTGGAATAGAGCGGAGCCAAAGCTAGCATCTCTCTCTCGTAATATGCTAGGATGAGGCCGATGATGAGTGAGTTTCACACAGGAGGAAAGTGTTGAAAAGCGACAAGGATGATTTTCGGAAATTTAATGGGCCCAGCTGAATATATCCTATGTCGGTTAATAATAAATAACAGGCATGCACCACCTTCACCGAATGTAATACGAATGGACGTCGGCTATTTATATAGTGAAGAAACGGGAAAATTCTATACATCTCTCTTACGATTCTTGAGTGCGATTTGAACTGAACTGACTGAGTGTTCATGGGATTCTTTGTGAACGTGATTTGGTTGAAAGAGTATGAGGATGGACTGCTTGAAATCAGTTGAGGTTTCTTGCGAACTGTAGTAGCACCGTGGACCATCATTTTGCACCGGAATACAAAATAAAAATTTTTTTATTCTATATCTTGATTGATTTGCAAGAAATAGTTTAAAGTCTATTTTTCAAAATAAAGTTGGTTAATATATAATAATGATACAATAAATACATATATATATATATATTTGTATTTAAACTTGCCGCTGTGTATTTAAACTTTAAACTGTGTACGGCATGTCTAACAAAATATATAGCTGGTGAATATTACTTTTGTCGCGAACGATGTTCGTTGAAATTTTTCTGAGTTAGCAAAGTATAGTTAGTAAGTAATATTACAATTATTTTAATCAATATTCAAAATGATCTTTTTATTAAAAATGATTTATTATAAATATTTAAATAAATATTTTATAGAATATATATGTATACACGGTGAAAAAATTAATGCGTATTAGAATAAAAAATAGTATATATTTATTTTTATATGCGTTATTAATTTTTTCGCTATGTATACATATTTATGTGTCCTGGAAAATATTTACTTAAATAATAGAACATATATTAAAATGCACCTGTGTGACATTATTCTGGAGCTTTTGGTATAATTCTGAAGGAGTACATTTAATACCTTCTGTATACTAGAATTCTATGTTACCGACGTACGAGTTCTGATTTCGAATATCGTGGTATGCCGCCAGAGAGCTCTAGTTGATACATTCAACCCTTCCGAAAGGGTTCAAGGCCTTTTCATAAAAAGATTGGTAGGGGTAGGGTTTTGCTTTGAAACTTTGTACTGATAAATGCAAATAATTAAATCTAAATCACATATACATACATATACATATGTAATCAAGGTCTTTTTATTTGTCTCACATAGATACATGTTATATACATATATATCATATTATTTATACATATAAGAAGGATTTTAAGCTAAATAAAATCTTTAGTAATAATGTAGCATAGTTTATGTATCAGTAATACTTTATCAGTATTTTATATATACTTTATCAAGATTTTATATATGTATATTTTATTTTCTAAAACTTTATATTACATGATTTCGTAATGACTTAATGATTTAATTGTAAAATTCTATAATAAGATCAAAATGCATTCATAATCATGATTTTATTTATGCGGATATTAAAAAAATATAAATAGAATATATAACGGTTAGTTATTCAATTATATTTTCGTTAAAGAAATATATTTCGGAGATTCTGGAAAGAAAATTCATCGTTCGTTTTATTGTATACATCCAGCTACAGAGTGCAAATTATACGCCGTACTTGTTTCTTGGGTACGTTGTCAGATATTTCTGCGTTGTCAAGTATCTGGTGTATATACCGGGCGGACGTTACGCACGGCATCACATCGCGTCGCATTGCATCGCATCGCGTCGCATCGCATCGCATCGCGCGACCCATCCGGTGGCCCTAGCAACGCACATGCGCCCTTCTTGGACTCTCGCCTCTCTGGTTTCTCTCTCCGGATGGTTGGGGATTGGCCCGGAGTAACACCCCCTTATAATGGGTTCACCCGTCCGCGTCGAGTGCTAGAGAGAAAGAGAGAAAGCTGGAAGGAGAGAGAAAGAGAAAGAGAGAGATAGAGAGAGAAAGGAAGGGAGAGAGAAAGGGAAAGATAAACAGAGATGGGTAAAACGAGGGAGACTGAGGGAGAGATGTAATTCCGTAGTAGCGAGAGAGGAGCGAGAGAATCGGACGAGAGCGAGAGACAGGCGGCTGCGAGGGCCGCGCGCGAGAGGGATGAGGGCAACGGAAGCCATATTGATTTCCCTATGTTTCCCCGTGTTGTTACTATAGCGCCCGGCGAGGGTGCGAGTAGTAGGCAGGTACTACCCTCCTCGACAGCCACCCCGTTCTTCTAACTGTCGGTTGTCCGGCGAGAGAGACTGTGCTGTACCACGGCGCGGCTCGTCGCGCCGTATATTCTGTCCTCGCGATTCCCTCTCTTCTTCTTCACTCGTCCCTTTTCCTCGCTCCGCTGTTTTTTTTCCCTCGCGACCTTCTGTCTCGCGTACAAAGTATCGCCCGCTATTTTCTCACCGTCTGTCGTTGTGTCGTCTGGACCGAGCGAGCGATTTAGAGCAGTATGTTTTTGAAAGCATGAGATGTCACCGCGATATTACCGGAGTAATATTTTCTTCGTTTCAATACATGTAACCTTGTATTTTATCAGCTTTATCTTATAAAATTTGAAGTCTCACATTCTTTTTAAAATCTTAAAACACGGAAGAAAAGACAACAGCGAGGAAAGCGGTTTTATTCGTTGTTTGATTGAGAAGAATATTTATTTCGTGATTGTAAAATGTTTTTTTTTTATTAGCTGCGAGCATCGCGTTGTCGCATAATTTGTAAAAGCGGGTTGCCAAATTACAAATCAGCGCTTTAAGCCACCTTTTCTGTTACAAGCACCGAAACATAAAATATCGATGCGAGACACGATTCGCTCATTAACGACGGGGATCGTTCATCACTCGTGCCATAACATTGTTCGTGGTCAAGCGTGAATCGGACGTAACGTTTTCCCTTAACGCCGCGTAACGTTCCACGGGGCCAGAAGGTATCCAAGAGAATAACCTGGGTGGTCCGATATCAGCTGCGCAGCTTCCCAAACGCATCACGCGTTTTCCTGCGCTTTCCTACACGGTGTCCTAGTGCTCTTTCCCGTGGTCACGAAATGCGGAGAGATCCGTGCTCGGCCGTTAGAA